CTTCCCAGAAACCTTGCGATCCAAGGTTAAGGTTATGTATAGAAAAATACGAACAAAATTACAGGATTTTCTTAATAGACAGCTATCACAGGCTAGGTTAAAATTTGTTGGGCAGTATCAAATGATATAAACTGGGAATCCATAATGTGAAGAGTTTAATAACATTGTTTACTAATAACGTCGGGATAGTTTGATACATAGGTCCTTTTTCATATGTTTCCTACAAACACTAAAAACTCTAAAAAAATTTAAATCACATACATATCAGCCGGGTCCACAATTTTGTCTGAACATCCACAACTCTTGTAAAATAAGAACGAGTCACCAATTTTTTAAAATCCGACCTTCGAAGAAGACGCAAAATTAAATGAAATTTCAAGAGGATATGTTAGGTACCATAGACTAAAGATATACAGCTGTTGGAAAACATGGGCCAATGTTTTTACCACTAAAGTCTTGTTTTTCTTTTATGTTAAAAATGCAAAAGGAGTTAAAATTGAGTTTGTTTATTTGTTGCGATTCAATTCAGTTTCGGCAAAATGTAGGCATACTTTTTAATCCATTACAATATAATACAAACTAAATCAAATAAATTCCATCGCCTTTTTAAATAATTTCTATGTAGTTAAACCTTGTGGCATCACACCGTTAGTTAGTTAGTTAGTCTCATTTCAAAATATAAATTATCGGCATTTCGTCAATGCAATAAGTTAAAATGAAAATTAAATCCTCTTTAAGACAAGTTCATAATTTCGCTATAACTTTTTATTTCATATGCCACGAAGCTGTTACTACACCTTAATGTTGTCTCCCCCCAACTTAAAGCTATTGTTCCAAGTAAATGAGAAAATGATAAACCCCATGTTTTATTCTATTTCAAACAACTATCATTATGCATTTGTCGTTTAAACTCTCTTTTCAGGTAATATCAAAATGAACACCGTGACGTATACGCTACCGCTACAGCAACATCAATACGCCACAAAGGCCACCCATTGTAGCCACATTTCAGTCCCAGAGACACAATATTTTAGCTTTTGTTTTTATTTCATTTCCCCCTGAGGCCACAGATGCTCTTCGCAAAAACTTGTTTATCTTTCGCTGCACACAACCCCACCAACAATAATAATAAAATGCTATTATAAATGAAGCACATAAACGCTCACACACACATAACCATTAAAAGAGGTTAGTCAGGTAACCTTTCGAAAAAAATAATGGAAATTGTTAAAGTTCCACTAAAACCATTTATTTAATGGACCCAGCGTAACTGTGTAACCGAATTGTGGGGCGGGTTGTGTGAAAACAAATTATCATTTGTAATGGGAGGGGGAGAATGGAATCGCTTATAAATGCTGGTAAGTAAATCATTTTTAAATATGGAATTTTTATGTAAAATATGTTGGAGATTTGCCACGGAGGAAATTTGTGTGGAAATACAGGTTGGTAAACAAAACTATAAATCTGTGTGCCATTATTTTAAAATATTGTAGCTATGACTAGTAACTTTATAACCATTGGTTTTGTTTTGAATCTATATTCTGTTGGTATTTAACTAAAGTTTTTAAAAAATCAATCATTAAATCTATGTTGTTTCCTAAAACTAATCTTTGAAAAGCCCACGAAAAACTAACGTTGATATCAAAATGCTTAGATCCGTCTGCCTTCAAAAATTCTTTAAAAAAATATTTACGATTTTTTTAACAATATTTTTTTTTAATTCACGGATTGAAATATTCTGACAGATTATAGCTCCACTGGCAATCGAAAACATATTGTTCACAATTTTTTTTTTTTTTTTGGTTTTTGGTTAAATGTTAAGGGTAAAATCTGTTGGTGTTACAAAATCTTAAAACCATCCGCATTTAGGTTTATTGGTTTTTCAAATGAAGTTCGTTACAAAATTAATGATTGGTCTGTGAAACTAACTCTATGTCATAGAAAAACCAATAAAGAAAGTCTTAAAGTCGGGCGAAGCCGACTTTATGACACCCTACACCACTTTGCTAATTTAGTAGAGCTCCACATATCAATTAAAAGTTTTTATGGGAGAATTCAAACATACACGCTATGATTATAATTATAATTTAAAGTTCAAAGGACTAAATATGCCGAAGTATTTGTATCTTTTAAATTCGCAATTTTATTGTCCATTTGGTGCAAATTTAATTTGAAATCGGATAAAGATATATATGGGAGCTATATCCAAATCTGAACCGATCCCGATAAAATTTGGCAAAGATATTTGTGAGCTGTATTTGATATATGTCCCTGAATATCGTTGTTACGGAGTGCATATTACGGCTGTGGGGAACAAATATAACAAATCGGATGAACAATATATGTGGGAGCAATAGCTATATCTGAATCGATCTTCACCAAATTTGACGTACTAGCTTCTAGACTAAATTCGGTCGTAAGTGCCAAATTTCATCCTATTTGGGCAAATATTAAACGTTTGGTGCACAATGAAAGGTAAATCGGACAAAGTTATATATTGGAAGCAATATCCAAATCTGAATCGATCTCGATAAAATTTAGCAAAGGTATTTCTGAGCTGCATTTGATATTTTTCCTCAAATATTGTTGTTACAGAGTGCATATTACGGCTGCGGAGGACAAAAATAAAAAAATCGGATGAACAATATATATGTGAGCTATACCTATATCTGAACCGATTTCGATCAAATTTGGCATACTTTTGTTCAGGCCTAATTTGATTGCGGTGTTATACCCTACACAATCAAGTCGTTGGAATTTTTAAAAAATGACATTGGAATAAAATTCAGAAATTTCAAAACTAGGCATCTGTGGCTCCTAGTTCCCAGTTTTAAAAAATATTCCATTACAGAAAAAATCGTTCACGATTGTACATCTATAGCACCTTGAAAATGTTTCTTTAAACATTCCACAACAGTGCAGATCCTTGAAACTTTTTTAATTTTATTTAAGATTGTGTTCGGGTAGCCCTCAAGCATTTTTGAATAAACTCCTAAGTTCTTTAAAACATTATTTTTGTGAAAATGTTAACCTCGAGCAAGTCACCAAATTCGTATTTCTTGGTGTATTTTTCAAAATTGGGTAAGTTTGGCAAGTCAAAATATTCTGCAAATAAATATTTGTCATACATTTCTGCTATAGATCCTAGAAAACATCAAAAGTCTAAACATTATGTAAACGCCAGAAATCTATAAATATAAAAAAGTAAAAAAGCTGTAAGTTCGCCCGGGTTAAACATTGACTACCCTCCACCATTTGGAACCAAATTGGCAATTCTCAAAAACAATAAAATCCGTCAAAAATTTTGTTAAAATCTTAAAAATTCTGAATGTAGCTGTTATATTAAGATTTATATGACGATATTGACCTGCATAGGTAACTTTTGTCATAAGCCATTATAATATTCAAATGAGAAACTTAAAAAAAATCGGGTATTAAAACACATTTTAGGGTTAAAGCCGTACTTTTTGCGAGTTTATGAAATAATTGACCAATTTTTGCAAATCCCTATATTTTTCATCAGTGCCAGGTTAGGTGCAAAAATGGGCAATATCGGCCTCTTCCATCAAGTACCTCCCTTACACATTCTTATATTCTTATACTCAAATTTCAGGATTCCAACTCTATCGCTTCATCCAAAATGTAATTTCTACCACATTTAGTACTACTTAGTACACATAAGTACGAATTTCCAAAACAACCGCAGTGCTACAATGTAATAGTAATCTCATTTCCAACTTAATTTTTCAACATTTAAATTGTACCAAATTTAGTACCGATTTAGTACAGATAAGTACGGATTTTCTAAAACTGTCTATATACCTTAGTCCTACAATGCAATTTTATTTATAAATTTCAGAATTCGAATTAAATTGTACAAAATTTAGTGCCACTTAGTACTTTTCGAACACATAAGTACAAATTTCCTCCATATCCCAATCCTACACCTCGCCAGTCAAGTTAATTTCAAATTTCAGGATTCCAGCTTCATCCGTTGCTCCAAATTCAAATTGTACTAAATTTAGTACAGTTTAGCACATTTCGTTTACATTAGAAACACTTCCAAAACTACCTTTTCCACACACCTTTACCACAAATTTCAATTTCCGTTCACATGATACCAAATGTTAGCAAATGTAGTACATTTTAGTACACTTATAGTGCGAATTTCCAAAAAACGTTTGCTACATATATCAGAAACTACATCAGTGACGCATATTCCAAATTTAAGAGCTCTATCCCTACTGCTTCCTCAAATACAAAGGGTAAGTACTTTTCGTATCGTCTAGTACGAATTTTCAAAAACCCAACCTTATTCGTGTCGTTGTTCTTTGGAAAGATAGTTTATGTTTAAGTTTGGAGTTTTTTTTGAAGATTTGGTCTTGACCCTCTTTGGTATTTGAATACATTTTTATAAAAAAAAAATCTGCAATTTGAATTCTAAATAATTTGTTCTAAGTCCAGCCATAATTAACAATTTTAAATATTTTTTTTTTTCGATTTGGTTATTTTTCTTGTTTCATTTATTCTGCTCTCTTTCATCATCTTCATCAGATTGATTGCTAATATTAAACGAGATTGCCATTTATCATTGGTATTTTTGAGGTCATGAACAATTCTTTCGCTTGTATAACCACTGCCAATCATCTTTGGGATTCATTCGCTCAGTCATCAGTCCATTTCGTTCATCATCAACCTGCCATCCATGGCATGCTTAACACGTGTCCGGATAATGTGATAGTAATCGTGTGATGAGCAAATTCATCATTCATTAGCTGTAACACAGCAATGATTGCAATTTTCATTCTCTGTTTGTCTCTGTTTTTTTTTTCCACCTCCGAATCAAGGTTTCCAATTCCAGTAACACAATGTAAGTCCAACACAAATGAAAAAGTGCAGCACTTCATTCCATGGTGCTCCACACACACACAACTCACACACACACACACATATATGTGTAAAAGCTTTAATTTGGAAAGGATTTGTTCATTTCCACTTACCTGGAATCCCAGTAAGCTCCACACTTCTTTGTCGGATGAGAAGACACACGCCGTATAATTGTGGCCATTGAATTGATAAATTCGTACCGAATGCGCCAAGGCCACGGGTATCGCCGTTGTCAGGATCAGTATCCAGGCCATGATAATCGCTCTGAAATTGAAAATATATTCGGGAAGGATTTAATAGAAAATCCTAGTATTTTTGTTGAAATATTGATTGGTTGGTTTGGTTTTCATTTGCCGTTAGTGGGTGGTTGAGTGGGCAAAAGAGAGAGGGAGATATAGAGAGAAAATGCTGCCGTTGGAGAACATGCCAGCGGATATTTTGTTTAGATTGCCATTTTTTTGGTTTCATTTCGTTGTTGGTATTTTTTCGCTATTTATTTATGATTGTCGTTACGGAAATCCCTTTACAGGAAAGCTGTTGTGTTCTGTTGTTATCCTTGCTGCTGTTGTTGTAGTCATCCTTGTTGTTGTTGTTTGTTTAGAACTTTGGAGGTGAAAATCGTTGGCTTATCTATTCGATATTGGTTTCATGTGAAAGTGGTTGACAAGTAATTGAGTGTGTTTGACGACGCTGGTGCGCTAGTGTCGCAGGTTCGACTCCAGCATTTAACCTATAAAAGCTGGTATTATTACAACGTGATGTCTTATGAAGATTAGGAGAGCAGGGAACAATATTGAAGATAAACAAGGGATTTGTATGACATTATGGCATATCGAACTATTTGTATGACATTATGGCATAGCAACTAAATACTACACCTTTTTCAATTGTAATTTGAATATTTTTATACCCTCCACCATAATATGGAGGGTATATTAACTTTGTCATTCCGTTTGTAACACCTATCTATACGTCTGTGGAAATCACTCTAGCTTCCGAACGAAATGAAATAGGTTGATAAAGTTTTAATCAAATGTATATTATGTCTGCAGAAGTTTTGGTATTGAAAATGGGCCATGTACGCCCACGTTTTGGTATAGGCTCCATATAATGGCACCTCCATATTTTCGGTATTTTGGTGATTTGAGCTACATTATTCACCGGGAATGTTTCAAATTTGGTATTTGAAGTTCGTAGTGGATATTACAGCCTATGAAAGAATAGTGTCTGTACAGGTCCACGTTTTGGTATAGCACCCATATAACGGTACCTCCCGATATTCGATTTTTTGATGATACTTGCGACAATGTTCACCGGAATTGTTTCAAATATGGTATTTGAAGTTCGTGCGGGTTCACGCTTTCGTATAGCCCCCATATAACGGCACCTCCCGATATTCGGTATTTTGATGATTTTAGCGACATTATTCACCGGAATTGTTTCCAATTTGGTATTTGAAGTTCGTAATGAATACTACAGCCTATGACAGAAAATTGCCTATTCAGGTCCATATCTTCGTATAGCCCTCATATAACGGTACCTCCCGATATTCGGTATTTTGATGATTTTAGCGACATTATACTTCGGAATTATTAAAAATTTAGCGTTTGAATTTCGTAATGGATACTACAGCCTAAAACAGAAAATTTTCTGAGCAGGTCCTTGTCTTCGTATAGCCCCCATATAACGATATCTCCCCATATTCGGTACTTCAATGATTTTAGTGAATTTATTTACCGGAATTGTTTGAAATTTGTTATTTGAAGTGTGTAATGCATATTACAGCCTATGACAGAAGATTGTCTTTGCAGGTTCAGGTCATCGTATAGCCGCGATATAAGGGTACCTCTCTATATATTCGGTATTTTGATGATTTAAGCCACATTATTTACTGAAGAGATTTGGATGCTTATTTCGCTTTCTTTGAGCGTTTTTTTTTTTTCAAAATCTTGAACCCTATGTGGGGGAGGTACCAGAAGAAGTAATCCGATCTCTACCATTTTCATGGCAGATTTTGTGTTAATGGAAAATTAAGATCTACCAAGTCTGAATGGAATCGGATGTTATTTTGGTGTTTTATGAGCTTAATGGGTATTCAAAACTTTAAACCTTTGTGGGGGAGGTACCAGAAGGTTTACCTGATATATTTTATCTTCAAATATAGAGAAATATAGAGAGAAACGCATGCTTATTTCGGATTTTATATTCGATTTGGTTATTCAAAACTTTGAGCCTTTGTGGAGGAGGAACCAGAAAAAATGGTCCGATCTCTACCATCTTTATAGCAGATCTGGCATTGATGGAAATATTGAGATGTGCCAAGTCTGAATAGAATCGGAAGATAATTTCGCGTTTTATGGGATGGGTATTCAAAATATTGACTTTTGTGGGTGAGATACCAGAAAGAATGGACCGACATATCCCATCTACAAACCTGATCTTGGGTTTATAAAAATATTGGGATGTGGGATATTTGAAGACAGTCGGACTTTTACATCATATTTTATAAGAGTTATAATTATTCGAAATTTTGACCCTTTGTGGGAGAGGCACTTGATGGAGTGGACCGATTTTATCCGTGTTTGGACCTGGCCTAGTATTGAGGTAGATATTCGGATTTGAAAAGTTGGAGCAAAATCGGATTATCCTTTCTCCTTCTGTGCAGTAAAATATTTTTTTTTGAAAATTTCGTCCTTTTCTGGTGGAAGTGCCAGAAGGAGTGGACCGAAATATTCCATTTTCACTCCAGACCTTGGGTTAGTAAAAATATTGTAATGTATGTAAATTGGACTAATACATAACATTTTATAAGAGTTGTAATTATTCGAAATGTTGACCCTTTGGGGTTTGGTAATTGATGCAGTGGACCGATATTGTCCATCTTTACACCTTAGCACTAATAGAAATATTAGGATTTGAAAAGTTGGAACAAAATCGGATTAACCTTTCTCTTTCTGTGTGGTAAAATATTTTTTGAGAATTTTTAACTTTTGAGGGGGTGATACCAGAAGGAGCAGACCGATATTTGCTTTCTCTGAGCTTGATATTAGTTTGATAATTAATTGTGTACCAAGTTTGGACCAAATCGGATAGTCCCTTCGAAAGTTATCGTGCGCTCCAGCCAGCCAGAAAGGCGGACGCACGGACATCGATAGATCGACTCCAAATGTCCTGAAACGAATTTGGTCCAAAAGGCCTAGGATCTAAAATCGTTATTTCGAAGCGGCTCTTTTTGGCCCTATCAAATGATTTATATCATCTCCAGCCATATAGCTGAGGGTATAAAAATTACATATAATATTGAGGTGGGTAGGATATTCAATAAAAATTTATTTTGTTATACTCATGTAAAATGGAATGAAGAACAATTAAAAGTCTAATAAAAATATTAGTAGCTAATATAAAAAATTACTGAAATTTAAATAACGCAGTTAATATGATATATAATTAAAAAAGCTACCCCACCTATTATTCAAGTAATTTTTTTCTTCGAATTTCAAATGTAACATTTCGAATTACAATTGAAATAATTCGAATTCGAAATAAATGGAATCATTCGAATTACAATTGGAATTACAAAAAATATTCCCAAATTTCAATTAAAATATTTCGAATTACATCTGAAGAAGCTGTAGTTTTCACTTCTCTAACAAAAAAATAAAATACCTCTCTATTGTCTTAAGAAATCTGAGTCCTCTTAGGCAACACCAAGCAGCCAAGCAATAATTTCTCGAATTTCACTCTTTTTTAGAAAATAATAAATACTTTTCATGGCAGTGTAGTTTTCTCTTTTCATGACTTTTGTACAAAACTAAAAAAAATGAAATGCCCTTTTCACACGAACCAAATAACTGACCACGACTAAATTGCGATTTACACGCCCTAAGCTATGCAATATCCTTTTGAAAAGATTTAATAAATTTTTTTTTGCACCGAAAAAATGAGAAGAAAAACTTACACAAAAAACCCTTTGGCATTCAATTTTCTCGCATGCCAATTATCTTTCATTCTCTCTTTTTTCTCACTCTCTCCTTTCACCTCAACTAAACATGGATCCCATCCAACATCTTCAGAATAAAACGAAACCACAACACAATCACAATCCACCCACACACACACTCATACACACTCGCACACACTTACAATGTTGCATTTCTTTCCGTGCGCAGTGACATACTCGTCACCGGATGCACCACAGCCAAAAATCGATCGAAGGACATTAGCACCAGCGTGTACACACTGCAGTGACACGTCACCACAATCATGTACTGTACGAATTTGCACCACAAGTTCCCGAATGGCCATTCCGGCAGGACATAGTCCGTCGCCGTAAAGGGGACACAGAAGATGACGAACAGAATGTCCGATACGGCCAAGTTGATGATGAGTAGATTGGTGGTAGATCGCATTTGTTGATTGGCCACCACAACTGAAATGGAATTCGAAAAAAGAAAGAAGAGAGGGAAGAGAAGAACACAGAAAAACATTAAATGTAATTATTATCTAGAGAATTGTGTGGAGGAACATGCATTTAAGATAATTAAATGGTGTTGCGGGTGGTTGGATGGATGGAGATAAAAATATTCTGAAAAATCATTTCCTTTTTTCGAATGGTTAAAGTTGTTTTGCTTTTTTCTTGTGTGGCTATTTTTTGTTGCCTTTGAAAGCAGATAAAGTAATTAGCGTTTCCACTCTTGCCAGAAATAAGGGTATTATTACTTAAACATTAACTCAGCTCAAGTTTTAATGGTCAGAATTGTTATCTGTTTATGTTCGGATTGTTGAAATGAGGGCGCTTATGGTCTTTATGTTTATTATTATTTTATTGTTATTATTACGGTTTTGTAAACGTTAAATAATAGCCATTATATTTTGTGTATTTACTCCATTCAAAATAGCATACTATAATATATGAAATAAAAAAGACATAGAAGACCAGAAATTCTTCTCATAAAAGAACAGAAGATCTTCTCATAAAAGACCAGAAGGTCTTCTTAAAGAAGATTATAAAATATTCTCGTAGAAGACCAGAAATTCCTTTAGGGTGAGTTAAAAAAAAACTACAACAAAGTCAAACCCCATAATTTTTACATTTTTTTTAATTTTATTGAATGAAAGCAACAAAAGTCGGAAAGAGCATTAAATTTTATAATAAGTTTAGATTTCTTCGAATTGGTCACCTTTGGCACGAATTATGGCCTTCAAATGGCCAATAAAACCGTCACACACTGCCCGAATGTTGTTCTGCGGTATTTTGGTCCATTCCCGGCAAAGCGTTTGCTTAAAGTGATCGACACTTCGGTATTTTTTAGTGCCAACCTTGCTTTCCAAAATACTCCAGATACAACAGTCCAACGGACTAGTATCCGGAGATTTTGGTGGCCATTGTGCGCTGGAAATGAAGCGATGATCCTCATTTTGTAACCATTCTTGGGTTGCGCGTGCTGAGTGCGATGGTGCAAAGTCCTGTTGGAATTTCCAAGGGCTACGGTCAAAATGTTTACGTGCCCAAGACTTTTATACACCCTCCAGAATATTTTCGCAATAATATTCGGCATTTATTCTGATGGCACGGTCGATTAATACGAGCGGAGAGCGACCATCGGCTGTTATGGGGGTCCACACCATGTTCTGCGCTTGTGTTCCTGTGGCCAACCTAAGCTGCACATTCTCTGCTAACTTCTTTGGCAAGTAAACACGATCATTTTGTTTGTTTACAAACTGCTGGACAACGAATGTTTTCTCATCGGAGAAAACCAAATTCGGCAGTGCAGTTCATCACTTTCGGCCAAGCGAAGCGAACTCTTTAGTTCATTTGAGTCTATTTTCTTTCAGTTGCGGTATAAGTTCTTGCACTTTCTGGAATTTCAATGGCTTTACCCCGAACCCATTTTTCAATATTTGCCGAATGGAATATTGTGATTTGTTCAGCTCACGAGCCATTTTCGGCCACAGCGACGCGGGCTTCGATCAAGTCGCTTCTTTACTTTTCGAACCATTTCTGCCGATGTTGCTGTTTTCTTCCGTACACTTCTCATAAAAGAGCAGAAGGTCTTCTCATCAAAGAGCAGAAGGTCTTCTCATGGAAAAGCAGAATGTCTTCTCATAGAAGAAGACCAGAAGGTCTTCGTATAGAAGACGAGAAGGAAGACCAGAACGTCTTCGTATAGAAGATCAGAAGAAGGTCTTCTACGAAGATCTAGTAGAAGACCAGAAGGTCTTCGTATAGAAGATCAGAAGAAGGTCTTCTACGAAGATCTAGTAGAAGACCAGAAGGTCTTCTTCGTATAGAAGACCAGAAGATCTTCTCATAGAAGACCAGAAGATCTTCTCATAGAAGAGCAGAAGGTCTTCTCATAGAAGAGCAGAAGGTCTTCTCATAGAAGAGCAGAAGGTGTTCTCATAGAAGAGCAGAAGGTCTTCTCATAGAAGAGCAGAAGGTCTTCTCATAGAAGAGCAGAAGGTGTTCTCATAGAAGAGCAGAAGGTCTTCTCATAGAAGAGCAGAAGAAGGTCTTCGAATTGAAGGCCAGAAGAAGGTCTTCGAATTGAAGGCCAGAAGGTCTTCGTATAGAAGGCCAGAAGAAGGTCTTCGTATAGAAGGCCAGAAGAAGGTCTTCGTATAGAAGGCCTGAAGAAGGTCTTCGTATAGAATGCCAGAAGAAGGTCTTCGTATAAGAAGACCAAAATGTCCTCTAATAGTAGTCCTCTTAGAAGATCTGGTGGTCTTCTTATAGAAAACCTGGTGGTCTTCTTATAGAAGACCTGATGGTCTTCTTATAGAAGACCTGATGGTCTTCTTATAGAAGAACTGGTGGTCTTCTTATAGAAGATCTGGTGGTCTTCTTATAGAAGATCTGGTGGTCTTCTTATAGAAGATCTGGTGGTCTTCTTATAGAAGATCTGGTGGTCTTCTTATAGAAGACTTGTTGGTCTTCTTATAGAAGACCTTTTGGTCTTCTTATAGAAGACCTTTTGTTCTTCTTATAGAAGACCTTTTGGTCTGCTTACAGAAGACCTGTTGGTCCTCTTACAGAAGACCTGTTGGTCTTCTTACAGAAGACCTGTTGGTTTTCTTATAGAAGACCTGTTGGTCTTCATATAGAGGACCTGGTCGTCTTCTTATAGAGGACCTGGTGGTCTTCTTATAGAGGACCTGACTGTAATGTTTTCTCATAAAAATTGAGAGCAAATTCTCATTTTAAAGATTTTCAAAATGTTTCTCTCCTTTTTTCTCCTTCATTTATTTATTTTCAGTCGAATTTTCCAGAATTTAATTTTTGTTTAATTTTATTTTTACGAATAAATATTTAAAAAGAATGCTTACCTGCGGGTGAATAACATCATATGTCTATGCCTGTCCCACTGGCCGACAAAGGACATTGTCGCTGCACGTATGTCAGCAGAAGCCTCCTTGAGGCAAAAGTTCATATGTATGTCTTCTGTTTGACTACAAAGGTGTTGTGTTGTCTTTTTTTTATAATAAGTGGCGAAAGTTTCCACGAACGTAGGATAGCATGTTTGCAGATACAAAAGCTAATTGCCGAATTCCCTGTTTTGAATGGTGTGTATGACAACGTTGTACGTGTGTAAGTTTAATAGGTCGTTTCATAGCAATTTTTATTCATGTCATGTTCTGTAATAATTCAATATTTTTTCTCTTATAAATTTCAAAATGCTACAGCAATTCTCAGGTGGATTTCAAACTTTCAACACAAGTCCTAACGGAATACCCCCATTTGCAATACATCCCATTGTACAATGTAGTGCACCTTGCCAGGGTATTTATAAAATACATTGACTCTACTAGGTAAGCTCTTATTTTTCTGGTAAAAAGAAAAAAATCTCTATTCGAAAGAAAGAATCTCAGAATACAACAAAAAAAAAAAAAAAAAACATAAAGAGCCTCGCCAATGTGCAAAACAAATGAAATCACAACAAAAGATGACACAGAGTGGGACCAGACAACGACAGCAACAACACGAAAACAATGGACCTGCAACAATGACATCCTTGTCCTCCTTCTCCTCATCATCCTCCTCTACCACTACTGGAGACAACAATGGCACTGCGAAACAATGAAAACAAAACCATCCTTGGGCAACGTAATTGGTTGTAATGGCAACAGCCAGCCCTCCCAAATGACAGTGTGAAACAATAACAACGACAATCCATAAAGGACGACATTGTATTGCATGTGACAGGATATTTACGGCCGGATGGTCGGAGAGATGAGAGATGAAAAAAAAATGAAACATATAATTGCTACAACACGATATAAAAATTCAATGGTACCTTAAAATAAGGCGAGCTCATCTTTGCAAATACCTTGGTGTTGTAGTTTTTGTCTTCTGGATTATCTTTAAGATTCTATTTTGGCACTTTGCCGTTTCCTTGGGCTATTTTTGCTCAATTTGCCAGGCGGTGTCCATCAAAACAAAAATCTTAGAATAGCAGCTGTAATTTTGTGGTGCAAATTATGTCAGCTTGTGGTTTCTTAGAGAAGATTTTGGGGAATCTAAAAATCCATAGAAATAGATGCGGTAGTGGGCAAATTATTGGAGGTTATATCAGGAGGTTATATATCCACTAAAATTATAAAATTTCAATTTCCAAAAGAAGCATTGGAATATTTTGCAAATCTCAGGATATAAGATTGTAGTTAGGAATTGCAGGAAAATGAATACAATAAGTTATAGACTTGTAGAGTTAAGTAGGAATATCCCCAATCTTGGATTAAATTCTCGAATTTATGATATTCTTCGAATACCGGCACAATTTACCCCGAATCAGCCATGCAAGCCTCACAATTGAAATAGAATAAGTTGGTGGGAATGTAACCCCTTTGCAGGCGCTGCTAAGAAAATTTTGTTGGACTATTTACGCTCAAGTGGTGGGTAGGTGGTAAGTTATGGGGCGCACGGCGCGCACTGCGCGAAATCTACATTTTTAGAACGGATAGACATTTCTTCATATTTAAGGTCAGCATGCAACTCTTTACCAAACCAAATTTAAATATTTTTTCACTGATTTGTGTAAAAGTTGGTATTTGTGGGTCATAATGGGTCCTAGGTCGTGTGGCGAAACATTGTAATTATAGGTGCACGTGTTGGTGTAGCCCCTATATAACGGTACCTCCCGATATTCGCATTTTAATGTTTTTTGCCACATTTTTTCTAATGTTCTTTTACCCTAGGGTGGAGGGTATTAAAAGTTTGGCCCGGCCGAACTTAATGTTTTTTTACTTGTTATTATTAAAAATTTTAAAGCTCTATAGGAGAAGTACCGATGGAGTAAAACAATATTGTCCATTTCGCTCATGACCTTAGTCTGATATAATCATAGGAGATGGCAGGTATGGATAATGTGTATATACGTTTTGAAAATGCTTAATTTTTTCGCGAAGCTACAAGAAAGAGTGGGTCAACAT